ATATGGATGAAATCGGATAGGGATGAAATCGTTTAGGGATGAACGGGTTTAGGGATGGCTTTAACAGGTTGTACCATTAGCAATAGATGTTGTCTTTAAGAGTTTAAGAGTTTAAGAGTTTTTAAGAGTTTTAGCCAAATGCTTTATAATATAGTATAGATAAGATTCTTTATAAGAACTCAGTTCTCGTACTTATATACATTGAAGATACTATTGACAAAACAATCTTTAGTGTCGTTTTAAAAAAAAAAATTAAACATAAATATAATTAAAAAAACATAAAAAGTAAAATAAAGGGTTGTTTGTCGGTTGTTGAATGATTTGATATAGAATGATTAAGAGACTCTTAGAATATAATGCAGATGAAATATAATTGTTTGATAATTATTCAGAATAAAATTAGGGTATTAAATACTCAAAGGAGACCCAAGATACAAAAACCATTCATATTATTTTAGAACCATTAAAAAACAAGATTTATTTTTTCAATAAAATTTACTTTTTAATGATTTAAATGTTATTTATTAAAAAGTAAATATTATTAAGATTCCGTTTGCTTTGAAACAAAGCAATGAATTAAATAAATAAAATATGTATGTATATATAGAAATGAAGTGCAAGTGCATGTGGAAGAAGTGGATAACCATCGAATCAGGAAAAAGATATATAATTTTGGATTGCCGACACAAGTGGGAAGCATCGGGTATTTGGCACATTTCACGTTTATTGTCCAATCGTCACGTGAATATTTAAACACCATTAATTTCTTTTTATTATTTATTTATTTTATTGTTTTGGATTTATTCAATTAAAGTTGAAATAGATTATCGTTAACGTTTAATCACACGTGTTTTTCGTTTTTCTCTTTTGCTCATTGGCTTGTATAATATTAGTTATAGTTAATTATAGATTTGTCCATGTGGTTTAGCGGTTTACATATATATATATATATATATATATATATATATATATATATATATATAATGGGTAGATCCGGGAAATTAATGGGATGGGGACCCATTGGATGAGAGACTTGAGGGAGGCAAGCATATAGTCATATGGGACTGCGGGGAATCCATATAAGACGAGTGTAAAAATAAAAAATTTAAACTAGTCAACAAACGTTTTTGTTATTTGACTGAGGGTATTTCCCCCAGTCCTTAAGGGCTAGATCTGCCCCTGATCTCTCCCAAGCTCCCAAAGTCATATTCAGTCTCCAACTCTTTTTATCACATTTTACAACACACCATTCACAGTCGTTTTCGTCCCCAACCCTTCGCCATCACCCCATGCAACCTTCTCCTCTAAAGCCCCCCTATAGACGGGCATAACCATTGTTAAACACATGTACACAACCACTGCTAAATACACACTTTCATTGTTAAAGACACACATACATACATTGACAGAGCCGGGGAGGGCATAAGCTAGTTTCTATTGGAATGTTAAATTATATATATATATATATATATATATATATATATATATATAGACTACAGACACAATCGTGTTTAGCTGTGGGCTCCCCATGTGACAAGACGTCGACTTGACTATATGAAATATTAATGGTTTACTTGTATTTCAAGTCAAGAACTGTTCTAATGGGTTTTTCTCTCTCAATAATTAGATTTTTTCTTGATGAATTTACCCAAACTCGAAAAAAGATTTTTCATAAACTGTATACATGAAGTAATTACTGGTAAACTTGAAAATTTAAAGTGTTATGTATTATTAAACAATATCTGATGTTTTATAAATTGTTTTAAATACTTTTATCTAAACTTTTTGCATTTTTATAGTTTGGCTTAATCAATTGCCCATCATTGTGCACCTTTCACTTTTTTTCGGCTTCAAACAGAAATCGTTAAACAAGATCCCTGTTCGGGGTTTTGTTGGTTTTCTTTTATGCCAGGGAAAATCGTTACACAAGGTCTGTGTTTGTGGACTGTTTTCACCGTAACACTTTTTAGAAGTAAGCAAGCAATGAAAACAGTTAAATCCAAACTCAAACATCTAAACCTTTTAATCATCCGCTCCTAAACTATAATCCACTATATTTCGCCTGCATCAGACCAAGCCTCTCGCTACAGGGTTTTCGTGGGTGTTAGTCACGTCTAAACCTAAATCTCGACAATGGCCTCCTTCTATTGAAAATGTGACACACAAAGCTTTTGCGTATGTCTAAGCGACTTGCATACGACTTCTAAGGTTGCCTGGTGGTTGTTGTCGACTTAAAAATATCTTAAGGTTTGTCGAAGGGGCATCTTGGGCTCTAAGGTCCAAAACAAAAATAATTAAAGAGCCCATGGGTAATATTTTAAATTTCAAGCATTTCTCAATTTTGTTACTTAAAAAAGTTCAAATCTGACATGAAAAATCTCGGACCTAGCGGGCCTGAACCTTGATCCAGACCCGATCAAACAAGCTAGACCTGAAAAATCTTGGAAAAGCCCGGTTAAACCCAATTGGACCATTTTCAACTCCAAAGCCCGACCTGATCTTAAAAAAGTCGAAGTATTTTTTTTAGTCATTGAAAACGGACTTAAGAGCTTCAAACCCAGGTCCGAAAAAGTCCGAACCATATGCATCTCTATTTACAATGTGAAAGGCTCTTGGTCACGAGTTCTTCTAAGCTTTTCTCGCTCAATTTATGTGGGAATATTCAYAATGAATATATCATCATTTGAGTTTTTCTAAGCTTTTCTCACTCAATTGATGTGRGAATATTCATAATGAATATATCATCATTTGAGTTTTTCTAAGCTTTTCTCACTCAATTGATGTGGGAATATTCATAATGAATATATCGATCATTTGGTATAATATATAATTCTTTAACATCTTAATGAATTCAAACCCATTAATGGTTTATAAGTGACCACAAATTCAGGTCAGATTGATGAGAAAAGTGAGACACCCACAAAATGAGATTCTTTTTCCCCCCATTTTTTTCTCTCTTCGTTTCAGGAGCAAATGGCCGTTCTTGGTCTTCCTGGACCTCCATTTTTCTTCTGTATCTTCTTCCTCTTCATCACCGTTCCCACGATCACCAAATCCGCCATGAACGATGCAGAAGCTTTGCTCAAAATCAAACAGTCATTACACGATTCCCAGTTTCTTGATTCTTGGAAGAATGGAACACAGCCTTGTGACGAAGTAATCCGATGGGTCGGAGTTGTTTGTGGTAAAGGGATCGTTACCACCCTTCGTCTCCGATCAATGAATCTTTCCGGTGACATTGATATGTCGGCCCTCTCGCAGTTGCAAGGTTTACGCGTTCTTAACCTCGTTAACAACTCGTTTTCCGGCCCCATACCGGAATTCAATAAGCTCGGAGCTTTGAAAGCTATTTACGTCTCGATGAACAACTTTTCCGGAGAGATTCCATCGGGTTTCTTCACGAAAATGGTGTCGTTGAAGAAGATATGGTTCGATAAGAACAACTTCACCGGTCCGATCCCTTCGTCGTTGGCTCAACTCCCTCGTTTATTGGAATTACATCTCAATAGCAATAACTTTACCGGTTTGATCCCATCGATCGGGCAGCAAAGTTTGGAGTCGCTTAATCTTTCGAGTAATAACCTCTACGGCGACATACCTTCGAGTTTATCGAGATTCGATGTGTCGTGTTTTGAAGGAAATCCCGGGCTTTGTGGGCAGAAATTCGGTAAGTTATGCGCTAGTGTGGTTCCGACTCCCCCGCCGCCATCCGAACCACCTCAGAAGTCGCTAAAGATCGCGTACGCGCTCATGGGTCTATCGGGTTTCATTCTTGCATCGATGCTCGTCGGAATCTATCTGTTAGTACAGAAGAGAAAGAGAGAAGAAAGGGATCAAATGTGCACGGAAAAACGAAACTTCGATGGTAACATCGGTTTATGTATATCGAGTATCGGTCGAAAAGAAGAAGATGGGTCAGGTTCAGGTACTGGGAAATGCATGGGGGGAAGAAGATCTCCTAGAAAAACCAAAGGGTTTGGTGACCTAATGATGTTGAACAATACCGGAAAACCCGTGTTTGGATTGTCGGATTTGATGAAAGCCGGAGCCGAGGTTTTAGGAAACGGATCGTTGGGGTCATCGTACAAAGCTAAACTATCGAACGGTTTGATTCTAGTGGTGAAAAGATTGAAAGAAATGAACAAAATGGATAGCGATGATTTCAAAACGGAAATGACGAGGTTGGGAGGATTGAAACACCCGAACATACTGGCACCATTGGCCTGCCATTATCAGAAAGATGAGAAGCTCTTGATCTATGAATACATTCCAAAAGGCAGTTTACTCTATCTATTGCATGGTAAGCTTCAAAGTTTCTAGATCTTTCCAGTGGAATTATGGAAACCGTAGCTTACTTACGATGATCGAAATCTTTTAGGTGATCGAGGGGAGAGTCATGCGAACCTTAACTGGCCGACCCGATTGAAAATAATTCAAGGAATCGTGTTAGGAATGAGTTATATTCACACCGAGTTAGCCACGCTAGCATTGCCACACGGGAATCTGAAATCGAGCAATGTTCTTATTGGCCCCGATAACGAGCCACTAGTCGTAGATTATGGTCTCATTAGCATCATCGAAAGAAATCATGCAGCGAGCGTATTAATGGGGTACCAAGCCCCTGAAGCAGTCGAAAGCCGTTCGATTTCGCCCAAATGCGATGTTTATAGTCTCGGAGTCATCGTTCTTGAGATCTTGACCGGGAAATTTCCGTCTCAGTATCATAAGAACAACAAAGGCGGGACGGATGTCGTGCGATGGGTGAAATCGGCGATTGAGGAGAAGAGAGAGGTGGAATTGTTGGATCCGGGGATCAGTGAGCACCGGAGTTGTATAGGGGAGATGCAGAAGCTATTGCACATTGGTGCGGATTGCACGGAAAGTAATCCGGAGAAACGGGTAGACATTAGAGAGGCGATTAGAAGAATAGACGAGATTCGGATTGACGGAAGCACGTAGATGATAGAAGATATGAAATTTCGCAAGATGGATGATGTGAGTTAGAAGCCGAGTTATAAGACGGGATTCGGGTGACGGGCGAGAATGGCGAATTGATGCTCAGCATAATATGTACTTGTCTAACTCCCTATCGAAATTTTGGGACAATCTATGCCTGTTCAGCCTCAGATAATTGAAGAGGCGGGTTAGAGTCAGAAATCAGCTAGACTTCTATTTTTAGGGCTCTTTTGTAGAGGAATCTAATGCACATATTGTCAGAGAAGATGGGATAGATGTTCAAATTTTCTTTTTAGGTCGGACTGTAAGAAAAGATGCGATAGTTTATGTAGACAGATGTATAAAATGTAGTTTATAGGTGATTGTATTAGATACAGATAGAAATAGATTCATTTCTAGTGCCAAATTTTGTAGGATTCATCAAACATACGAGAAAACGGTTTGTCTATTAATACTCGAAACGTTCCACGATGAAATACTTGTCAATTGAGTAAATTCATTTCATCTCTAATATCATCTGAAAACCAAAAAGTCTTATGCTCTTAAAAGGGTGTAATATTAGCGCGTAATTTTAGAACTAGCGGTTGGTTCAAATAAAAAGGCTGAATATTTTGAGAATATAAAAAGTGAACACGTTGAAAAAATCAAAAAACTCATTTGAAGATGCATATGTGATCCGATGTTACAGATTATTCATACATGTTTATATATGCATCTTCAAATAGATTTTTCAGTGATTCACATATGAATATTCATTAACCCCTCATTTAACATTCTTACTTTAACCCAATGCATTATAGAATAATTTAGCTTAACGATCTATTCTAACAGTCCGTTATTTTTCAACTTTCTTTGGGTTGAACAAAGTTGAAGGTCTTTTCAAACTCAGATAAGGTAGTGTACCCAAACAAGAGGCATGCAGTCCGTTACAGGATATTGCATATTTCTTGAGGATTCACTACTTTCTTAACGTTCCAAGAAACATTTACAGATGCCGAATATCGAGCTATATAACAACTACTACTTGTGAGCTTGCAACACGGACTAGATTATTACAAGATTTGGCATTCATGTTTCTTTTCTAGTCTTTGATGTTTTGTGATAACACCTCCATCATCCAATTAGCCATTAATCCCTTTTTTTTCACGAGATGAAGAAACACATAGAGATAGACTGGCATTTTGTTTGGGAGAAGGTCGTAAGTAACATTATCAAACTACTGCCTATTTGAACTCACTCTCAATTGGCATACATGTTCCTCGTCATAAACTTGCTCCATTAAAGTCCAAAATGGCTCTTCATTTTATAACAAGAAGAAATCTGAATTCCTGATCATTTTTAATCTCATATCCACTCATGAATTGCTCTTTAGAAGGGATTTGATCTGGTGCATCTTGATGCACCTCATCGGTGTTGACATTCAATTAGATTGATCCAATTGTGGAGATCTCTTCTTACGTTTTTCACCATAACTTTTCTTCTCACCGAGGGTTGGGTTTGGGTGAGAAGAGAAGTTATGGTAAGAAGTGTAAGAAGAGATCTCCACAATCTTAATTAAATGGTAGTTGCTTTCGGGAGCACGGGCATGGATTCGAACACTACCCTTTGTCCAAGATGTGGAGTAGCATTAGAGACGATCGAGCAGTGCTGGGTGACTTATACACTTGTAAAACAGATTTAAAACACGTTCCAACAATGGTGGGGCATCAACCTTGATTTGCTAGACTCGACATCAGAACTTTTATGTTATCAAGGAGGTGATATACCCTCACCTTGACAGAAACACTTGGTTCCTGATTTGGAGTCACCGAAATAGCATAATCTTAAAAAAAAAAACATTGGTTCCTGCTAAGATTCAATTCACCAAGACTTAAATCCAAGTTTTGGAGAGGATCCATTTCGTGGGGAATGTGGATCGAAAACCGATTCTACTTTCTCCCAACGAGTTGAGTGATTAATTGTTTTCATGACAACAACATGCTTGCTTTTGTAGTATAGAGTGACCTTCTTGTTACTTTGGTTGTTCTAGAACGAAAGTAGTAACGTTACTTTCTTCGCTTCAATTATTTTTCTCGTTTTTTTATATGTTTCCTTCTTCGTACTGCATCTAACGTATCTTGCTATACCCTTTTGATTTTATTTTTAATTCCATATTGCTTTTAAAAAAATATAAAGGTGATGTATTCCAACTTCCAAGAGTGCATGTGTTATGGTGCGTGCGAGGGGCAAATATAAAAACGTTGGGGGTTCATTTGACAGCAAGATATGGAATGGCACACATAACAGGATTGGAATCATGTGTCAGGCATAGTGCACGCATGCATGCATGCACGCACGTGATTTCTGACCCTTGTTGACTTCTATTCACTCCGCAACACTCACTTGTACCGTACAACCCCTCCTGCACATTAATTAATTCCAGCATTAAAATTGACAACTAATTATTATTAGTTGCCAACTTTTCTTTTTTAAATTTATGTTTTTTTAAACTAATCCTTTTAAATTTTAGTTAAATCAATATAATAATATATAAAAAGGAAAAAAATAAAAACATACATTTAATATATAAAATAAAGCTTATTTTATTAAAAAAAACACAACTTTATAGAATCATTTATTTGAAAAATATGAACTAAACGACAAAAACATCATCCCTATTTTCAACTTATTCCCCCACCATTTTGTTTTTTCTTTCGTGATTTTTATTTTCAAGATAATCATTTCCACTATTTATTTAAGAAAATGAATTAAATACATCTATGTATATTCATACTGCATTATAAAATATTTAATAAACATTCTTAAAAATCATTTTTTATGTATAAAATACTGTTTATTGATGCATTAAAATTCAAGATTATAAATAATTGTGCATAATACAACTTATTAAACTCTATATTTGAATTCGTGTAACTAACTGTAGATAAATATAATCAAATGCTGGATAAAATTCTCATTTTATATAAATCTAAAATATAATTAAGATTACTATTGAGTTATAATAGAATACTTAGTTATTATTCTTATAAACATTATATTATCAAATCAAAAACAAATTACTTCGTCATTCAAACTAAATTAAATTATAATAAAAATTGAATTAGAGAAATTACACAAAGAATGAGAACTTTTATATATATATTTTTTTAAAATTTTATGATACCTTCAAATTTTTATTTAAAAAAAATATTATTACTTGCTCAAAACCACATATATACAATATTACAATATCGACAGAAACCAAAAAAATAAAACGAAACATTTAAATCGAGATATATGTAGCTACATTACACGAGTATCCTTATAATATTACTAATTGTATTCATATTATCTGATTTTTTCTTCATACTTATCAATATCAAGATTTATTTTTTACATTTTCAATGCATAGTTTGAAGTGATTTCAATTTAAAATAGATGTATATAACATTACTTTGTTTACTTATTTATCTAATTTCTAATTAAGGTATTTTTTATATTTAAAATTATTAATTTCTTCATTATTCACAATGGTTTTTTGTTGGAGGTAGGAATCTTCTTCTTACATACATATTCCTTCCCAAAACCTTTCAAAATTACTAATATTATTAATTATGTAATTTTATTTATCTAAAATTACATGAAGAGATTAATCTATACCATATTATAAAGTATTTGATAAAAAAATTTAAAAACAATTTTTTATGCACGAAGTACTGTTTATTAATGCATATTAGTTAAAATTTAATATTACAAGTAAATTGTGTATAAGTACAACTTATTAAAGCTTCATACTAACATTCGTCTAACTAACTGCAGATAAACATAATCAAATATCGGATAAACATCTCATTTTAAATATAAAAAATCTAAAATATAATTAGTATAATCATTGATAACTAACAGAATACTTAGTTATTATCTTTATAAAAAATTATATTATTAAACCTAAATTAAGTTTCTTTCTTACTAAATCTAAATTAAATTATAATTAAAAAAATTAATTAGTAAAATTACAACAAAACAAAAAGAACTTTTAAAAAGATTAATTTAATACTGATATCGATATTTTTTTTTCAAAAATTTATGATATTTTTAAATTTATATTTTATTCAAAAATAAAAACATTATCACTTTCTCAAAACCACATAAAACCAATGTTTACTTAAAATTCAAGATTACAAATAAATTATGTAAAATTACAAATTATTAAAGTTCGATGTTTGAATTCGTATAACTAATTACAGATAAACATATTCAAATAGAGGATAAACATCTTATTTTAAAATATATAAAATCTAAAATATAATTAGGATAATTATCGAGTTTTAACAAAATAAATAATTATTATATTTATAAGAAAATTATATTATTAAACCAA